GTTTGCAAGAATGAGTTAGTTGCTTTCTTTTTCTTTTTTTTATTCAAACACAATATCATGACAAATGTATGGGTACAGGTTGATTTCACTGTATAACTGATTCAAACTTGAGGGCAAAACACATACGACATTCTTATATTTTTAGTCTATTCGCCTTTACAGGTGGTGAAATCTCATTTCACAATTCATTTCTTAATTTCAACTCTCTTTGAATTACTTATTAATTTGTGTTATCTGTTTACTGAAAACTTAATGATTCATAACCTATTTGAATGCAAGAAATACTGCAACATGTGATGTCTACTATCCTTATAAATTCAAAATGGCCAGAAAACATTCTTAAGATCAATTAATGTTATATAGTTGTTACTGTTGCTCCTAGGATTAATTAAAATACTGTTTGTGACATTATTTCAGAATACATAACATTTCATAAAAATAATTATGAAGTAAAGTAAAGTAAAGTAAAGTTTGTCCCACTATACGCCATGTAGGCGTTTGGGGTGAGTGGAGGTATAGCTCCTCTCTTCCTTGATCTCGGCACTAGACGGGGTGAGTGGTCAACATCACGCCCCGGCCGGCTTAACCCCCGGGAAAGGACCCCGGATCACGCCTCGGCCGGCTTTACCCCCGGGAAAGGACCCCGGTACCCATTGTAGAGGAGGCGGGGTGGCCCCCAGAGTCTAGAGGAAAAATCCTCTGCCCCCGTCGGGGATCGAACCCCGGTCGTCCAGCCAGTAGCTAGTCACTGTACTGACTGAGCTATCCTGGCTCATTAAAAATAATTATACAATTGAAAAAATATTAATAAATTTTTGTTTCAATGATCTAAGAGTCATCCATTCAAAAGTATTAGCAGTAAATTGTACAAGGGAATGTACCCATGTAACAGAATTCTGGAAGAGGGTCAAAACTATAAATACAGACTTCAAATAAAAATACTCCAACTCACATCTCCCAACTCTTTCTCCAAGAACTCAATACCTTGATCTTCGTCTTTAGCCTCTAATCTGCAAAATAGGAAACACATGCAAAAGATTAATTATGAGTTCCTTGGGTTTATATTATATTTCGTATTCCAACTTTTAACAATTTAAACTGAAAATAAAATCTTTCATGTTAATATACTACATAAATGTGAAAGTAATGACATAATAAGGGAAATATTTTAACTTTTCAATTACTGTAGAAATATTTTATCAGACTATTTAGTGTTCAATGATAGGACAATTAATGAATACTGAATGGGAAAGGATATACAAGGAAAGTCATTGCTTGATTTAGGGCACTATCAGAGCATTTGCTTGGAGGGACTGAAAAAAGCCATGAAAAATCTCAGCCAGCATTGTCAGTCTCTGGACCATGAGACCTCTAAAATATGAATCAGGAGTACTAACTACTTGATCATAATATTTGATCAAAACAGAGTTTAACAGCATCATAAGAAGTTGATTGTAATAGTTAGCAGACAGTCAATACTTTTTCAAAATATTCATAAGCACAACCTCTTCAGAAATTGGTTGTAATCATTCCATTCATCTTCCGTAAGTTTCAGCTGCTGATCTATAAGGTCCAGTAATGCATCAGTGCATTCTTCACACAAAGGATGGTCCACATGTGAGTTGCTTGAGAGGATATCAAACAAACTTGCAGTCACCCCTATGTGATGACTCAAGCTCTTGGTTTCACCTTCATCATCAACTAGCATAAAGCCATTGGCACCATTTCCAGACTCAAACGGAAAGCTGGGACATATCGGTCAAAGCTGCGAGCCTGTGATTCTAAGTCAACTTCTGGTACTGCATGAATTGGAACTGGAAGCATGAAAAGTAAATAAGCACTTCTTTGTTCAGTCAATAATTTTACTGTTGTATCAACTGCAGAGATTTAGTAATTCTGAATGAAACACGGAACAGTAACTAACAATGATAAAATTTGTATTGCTGTCTCAACTTACTGCTGCTATCTCTTGCAAAAATGCACTTACAAGAAGTCCAAGAATTATGGGCAATTTCAGCAACATAGGAAGAAGTCCTTAATTATAGGAGGTCATCATACAGAAGAGTTATTAAGTCATGAAATTCAAAGATGGAGAACATTCATAGATATTATATTGTGGAACATAATTTCTGTGCATATCATTTGTATATTAGGCATGACTATATCACAATTCAGATACATGAAATTTTATTTTTAAATGAGTTTTGAGGCTTCTATGGAAATAAAAATAGAGATCCCTTTAAGACTGAGATGATAACCCAAAAGTTTACAACACTTTTACCTCTACATTTCTGTTCTTAGCACACACAAACTTTGACAAGAAACCTGTATTTAAGAGTATAAGGAACAAGAAAAATCTGAAAAAAATAGGATACTGTTAAGATATTATGTATGCTACTACATGATAAACCTTATTTTTTGTATTCATAATGTTGCACAGGAGATCCTAATACTTTCAGATAGCTATGAAATATTTATATGAAAAAAATAGCCTTATAAAATTAAATATTTTGAAAACAAATATATGTATTACTTGGCATCTTTAATTCACAGAGACTGTATTTTTAGGAACACAACAAATGAATGGGAAATAGTTACTTAATGAACAGCACATTTTCACAGTTACATTTAAAACCAGTATAACGCTTTGTATTTTTCATTCCTTTCTATATATACAGGCTTGTGCTGTAAGGGTCATGCAAGTTAATCACCCAAACCCTTTTTCATTTGCACAGAAAATATAAAATGATAACAATATAAAAAATTGATACATTCATTTGTGCATATATCATATATGTATTTTATTTAAAAGTGTTAAAAAATGAAGAAGAAAATACAGTTTGCTAGCGAGTGTGTCTTGTTCCTTAAACTGACAATACACAATGTCTATATATAACCATAAAACAATGATGAGGCTTGAAACCTTAAGTTTATAAACAATGTCTGTTGAGTCTGATGTGAAAAGCTTTTTAAAACTAAACACACATCAGGTGATTGGTAGAACCGAATTTTTGGCATTGTAGCGCTTAATGGAGTAATGTACTGAAAAAATCACAGAAACATTGTTGACATTTAACAAATTTCTAATAGGACAACTGAAAGGATATACATAGATACATCATGTTGTCAACCAAAACATGCAAGATTACATTCACGCGTGTAATATATTTTATAATGATGTAAGACATCAACCCCTAAAATTCCACTATACTCTACATCAAGAGGTGCAACTACAAATTCATAGCAATACTTCTTTTTCCCTATTAAAAATTCCACATTCTGTGTTCCCAATATTGTCAAAAGATTCCTTGTGACACCCTTTGCCAATTGTTTGGTAGGTTTGATTTCAGCATTACTTACTCCTGTTTTTAGAATTGAGAGACTCGCTCCTGAGTCGACCAAAACTTGATGCTCTTTTCCTTCAATGGAAATATTCAATAATAATTCTGTTCCTCTGCTGGTGGTTGAAAATAATTTCGTTAATTCCTCCTGGTCATGCCCCCATTCTTGGGGCTCAGTGGTGGAGGTCGATTCGCCGAACCATTTGGGTTTGGATTAGGTGAATTTCTATCCCTTACAAATTTTGAATTTCTGTTTAACTTCGGACAGTGGCCACGATAATGCCAGTTTGAATGGCAATACGTACAACTTGGTTCAGTTCGAGGATGCGCAATGTTGCCTCCACGTCCTCGACCATTCATGCCCTCAGAATGAAAGCGGCTTCTATTTTGAAATCTACCTCATCCTTGATTTTGCAAGGATCTTGCCCTACAGTTTCTTGTTATGTGCCCCTTTTGATTACACTGGTAGCAAATTACTTCTGCCGTCGTAAAAACCTGTTTTTCGGCAGTCTTCTGCTGCTCGGCATTTTCAATCGTTACAGCGAGCCTAACAGCTTCGTCCATAGTTGCCGGCATTCGAAACTTCACTTGGTGTCCTACTACGCCCCGTAGACCATTTATGTAGGCCGCCACCAACCTATGTTCTGCTTCTTCATTTAAAATGACATGGATGGCTTCATCATCCACTCTCCATACTGTTTCGAGGCATAACTTCCTACAGTGATCCTCGAATACCTCGGCGGATTCATTTTTACTTTGTACTGCGTCTTGTAACTGTGTATAATGATATTGATCGGGTAACTTATCTGAGAATCGATCAAATAGAGCCTTTTTTATCACCCCATACGGACACGAATCTTTTAGTAATTTTTCCTTTCCATTTAAATATTGCAATGCTAGACTCTGTAGTTTTGACTTAGCAATCAATGCCATATCTAATTCTGTCCAATGACTGACTTTAGCGAACGACTCAATTTGAGCAAAATATTCTTGTACTGTTCTGCTTTTCGAATCTCCTGACCATTCTTTCAGTCCTACTACTAATGATACATCTTTAGTTAAGCTTCGTGATAAGGTGGTCTGTATTCCTTTCAGACGTTCCCAGAGAATTTCTATCTCTCCTGCTACTGAGGTTGCCATTTTGAAAACTAATATTTATCGTTTCTCTTTTGTTTCAGACTGACTGATGACTTTTGTCAGCTCTACGGTTGTACCTAGGGGGAAAAATGATATAGAAAATAAATGTACTCTCTGCTGATTAAAATTCCTGTCCTTAAAATCAAGGTTTTGTTAAATTCATATACTGAGGTTTTTCCCTCTTTGAGCGTTTAAGAAGATCGTATTCTGACTTTTGAACAACAGGCACCACGTATCCCCGGTATGCGGGACGAGTGGAAACCCGATATTTCCCTTTTTTATTACTCAAAGATTCAACTGAACTCTGTGATGTGTATCATATTGTATTTTTGAACAAAATTCAAATATTCATGCATCAGAGACATGGACAGTCTTGTTGTACGTAAAGAATAATTTTATTAAAGAAGCTCTAATTAGCAACGGTGACATAATGCAATGTCACAGACTTTAAAACCAATCTTCATATTCATGTTATTTTTGCTGTGTTATTATTCTCTGACACGAACTTCCTATGACTTTACCCAATCTGTTGTTGTTCTGTGAAGTGATGTGTTATGTGGAGGCATTAGTGTCGAAAAAGCTGTGGTTTTTAATAAACAAGGGAATCTAAAGAAAATATTAATATAAGTTTTCGAATTGAGCATTGTTAAGAAATAACACAGTAAGTTAGCAAGTTATAAAATGTATTTATTATAGATTAATGAGACGTAAATTTTACGGACTGCGTGGGCTGTTTATTACAGCCATAAATATTGGCATTTAATACATTTTTAGTTAGTTTAGTTTTTAATTTAATAGGTGTATACCGAAATAACTGTAAGAAATACTAGCGAGTGAGTAATGCAGAAGGTTTTAGTTAGAAGATTCACGAAATCCCCAACAACGAGTTTCTCAACTTTTGGTAACGTATTTTTTTTAATTTCTTAAGTAGCCTCTAATCTTAGTATGATTATAAACCTCTTTACTGTGTTAGTAACTACGAATATATTTGAGAAAACATGGACTCTAGGTACACTTAACCAGGTAAGAAAGAGTAACGATTTTGGTGTGTTACCTCAGCTATAATTTTCAGATTTTAAATTTGTAAATACTAACTTGCTGTCTTATAAATATAAATTATTGAAAAGGTTTTTATCTGGGCTCATCTTTAGGACATTTTGGATTGTTCAACAAATTTGTGCAAATGCCTTCGGTACAAAAGTTGATCAGAATTAGTAAATTGGTTTTCAATTCTGGAAATGATAGCAGAAGTCAACTTTGTGGTCCAGTTATCTCTACATCTTCTGCTATTAACATTCTTTCATCAATGAATGTCTACTTGGCAATTTATGTTCTACATATTGCATGAGAAACAATTTTCATCCTGTAAAATATCCCATTATATTTGCCTATTTTTTACAAAAAATGTAATAAGATAGTATAATTGCGTCATATTGTGAATCAAATATTATATTAATTATTCGGTTTTGTCCGTCTAATCACAATTATATTTAAAATTTACAAATAAGATAATTAAAATATCATTTTATGTTCCAGAAAACCCACTACCACAAGCACCATAATTCATGCTTCATCTTGCCACCCCTTTGAACATAAAAGAATGTCCATCAATTACCTAATAAATAGAAAAAACCTATATCCAATATCCACAACAAACAAACAAATAGAATTAAATATAATACAACAAATCCTCAGAGAAAACGGATACAATAACTACAATTTTTTAAATAAAAAACCTCAAAAAAAAAACTAACAAAAATGAAAATATACAAAATAAATGGGCCACTTTTACATATATAGGAAAAGAAACCAAATTCATAACAAAACTATTCAAAGAAAACAAAATAAAAGTAGCTTTTAAAACAAAAAACACAATAAAAACCATCCTCAAACAAAAACCACCAATAGACATAAATAATCAATACAACTTACCAGGTATATACAGATTAAAATGTAAAGATTGCCCGTTAACATATATAGGTCAAACTGGCCGCACATTCACACACAGATATAAAGAACATATTGCTGCTATAAAACACAACAAAGATAACTCGGCATACGCCAAACATATTCTGAATACCGGACACGCATACAATACAATAACAGAAACAATGGACATTCTAAAAATAGTACAAAATAAGAGACATAGAGATACAATAGAAAAATATCATATACATCAAACATTTAAACAAAACATTTGCCTAAACGATAATAATATTTACCTTAATAACCCCATATTTAATGCCCTTCAGATCCTTGACCCCAACCCCGACAACCACCTTTCACTTACTCTCCCTACAAGCAATCACAATCAGTATTGAACCATGCCTGGTCGGATACGCTAGTACTTCTAGACACCTCCAGACACATCAATGTGTCTACACTATCATCTTTGGTATGTTTAATTTTACTTTCCAATTATATAATTATTATTTCATTTTGTTTTCTATATTCTCTCATATTCATTAGTGTTTCTTTGAATCATTTGCTTTGCAGGCCGATGTAGAACATCAAAAGCATTTCACTTCAAAACAATACATTTGTTCCAATATATGAAAATAATCTGGATATGAACATCACCAGAAAACATCACCAAAAAGCTACACAACAGAAATTGTAATTGAATTTTAAGTTTGTTGATATAATTTTACACCTGAAGATGGTTTGATGAAACCGAAACATGTTGTAAAAATGTTCCAAATGTAAATCAATTATTCGATGTGGAACATAAAATGATATTTTAATTATCTTATTTGTAAATTTTAAATATAATTGTGATTAGACAGACAAAACCGAATAATTAATATAAAAATGTAATGTACAGGAAACATTGAAAAATCCCTAATATCAAATTTAATGAAAATCCATTTACCTATTCCAAGTTCTTTGCGAAAGGTCATGAGAAAACATTTTTACAACTTTAGTGGTTGGTTGAAAAGTCAAGAAATGCTTGACATGAAAATGCATATCAATGTTTCACTTTAGAATTTATCTACATTAATTACTTTTCATGTCTCCCCTTACAAATATCTTTGTGAGCACATAAATAAATTATCTTTTTACTTCAATATTCAAAATTACCACCTTGATGCAACTTTACAACATGGAATCATCACTGTGTCTTGGATTCTACACCATACTGTGTCCTTATTACCATTTACTTTCTCAAAGTCAGTGACTCCTATGTAGATATTTCATAAAACAGATTATGTGTAAGTAAACTTATTTCACAGAGAGCTACAATTATACTGAAGACTTTTTTCTCATCCTATATACATAAGACTCAGACAGAAAATTTAATTTATCTTGTATGTCAAATTTCTCCCAAGAAACTAAAACAAAATGCATGGATGGAAAAAATTAGCTATTCCTGTTGTTGGGGCACTATTACCTGCATCAAATACAGCAAAACTAATATGTTAGTTGCTTTTGGAAATAACTTATCAGATAATTCAGAAAAATACTGAAATATAAAAACCTTGTCGAGGTCATTTATTACTCATTACCATTAAATTATTCATTTAGGCAAACTGAACTAATGGATTACCATTTTCACTAGTTTCGTTATATATATAGTGTATTAACTTTAACTTGAAGATTTCTGTCTTTCTGGTAAACATCGACCAGACTGCACAGCACAACAACCCAGAAGACAGAAATCTTCATACTCACCGCTGTGAAAACCAAAAATCTTACATAACTTTAACTTGTTTATAAATTTAATAATTCTTAGTTAATTTGGTGCAAGTTGTTGTGGTGTTGTCTTGTGCTTTCACAAAAGTCTGTAATTTTTTTAGATGCAGAAAAAAGATTGTAGGCTGAATTTAATCCTTGACTGTTCTGTTTGTGTGTTCCAGAACCAACTATAACTGAGGAATTCAACAATTTTATGAAGTTTATGCTAGATGACAAAGGTAAGACCTCTCTTCGCAAGAAAGTAACTTGGTGAAGAATGATTTTGCCATGTTTCCTCTGGTATCACTTTAAGATTTTAACTTTGCTGTCTCATGAATAGCAATTATTGAATGTGTTTTATTATTTCAGTTCCTCTTTAGGACATTTTGGATTCTCTGACAAATTTGTGCAAGTGCCTTCGGTATAAAAGTTGATCAAAATCAGTCAATTACTTATCAAGTCTAAAAATGACAGCGTGAGTCAACTTTGTGGTCCATTTATTTCTACATCTTCTGTTGCCAAGTTATTGTGGTGTAGCCTCGTGATTTCACAAAACTTTCATTTTTTAGATACAGAGAAAAGAATGTTGCCTGAATATAATCCTTGACTCTGTTCCATTTGTGTGTTACATATCCAACTATGACAGAGGAGATGCAGAAATTCATGAACTGCATCTTAGATGACAAAGGTAAGACCTCTCTCATCCCAAAAAAGTAGCTTGAAGTGGTTAATGATTTTGGTGTGTTTCCTCAGCTATCATTTTCATAATTTAACTTTGCTATCTTACATAAATAGCAATTATGTAAATGTTTTATTATTCTTTAGGACATTTTGGATTTTTCAGATAAAATAATGTAGGCTGAATATTATCCTTGATTCTGTTCTGTTTGTGTGTTCCAGAACCAACTGTGATGAATGAGGTGATTCAGGAATGTATTACCAATATCTTATATTTTCCTAAACCTCATTTGCAACTGAATCCATGTCTGAAGTGGACGTGTCCTTGTCAGTTATTCCAACAGAGGGCGGCACAGAAAGTGACACCAGGAAACGCTCCTTTGAATTTGCTTCTTTAGGTAAGAAAGAGCAACGATTTTGACATGTTTCCTCTGTTATAAATAGCAATTAATCAAAATGGTTTATTATTCGAACTTATCTTTAGGACATTTTGGGTTCTTCGACTAATTTCTTCAAGTATAAGTGTACAAAGGTTGATCAAAATCAGTCTATTGGTTTTCAAGTCATAAAATGACAGAATGAGTCAACCTTGTACTCTATTTATCTCTGCAATTTCTGCTAATGTCTACTTGGCAATTTGTGTTCAACTTACGGCCTGAGAGACACTTTTGATCCTGTAAAATATCCATTAGAGTTGCTTAAGATGTCTGTAATTCTTCAGAAAAGGAAAGAGTTTGAAAACAGCCATGTTTTTTTATTCTGATTCTTATTGTTTTAAAACTGTGTTATGTATGGATTCCACTATTCTTTCAGAAAATAAAGATGACAACCTGGCAAAGAAGCCACGAAAACTTGCTGCTGTGCAAAATCAAAAAGTTACAAGACCGCCCAATGGTTTTATACTTTACTCCAATGAATGGCGGAAAAGACTGGCACTTCAGTACCCTGACGAAAAAAACAATCAAATCAGCGTGAGGTAAGTTGCAATACAAAACGTACTTCAAGACAATTACTTGTTAATAATTTAATGTGAACGACAAATTATCTTCGAAGCCATTCGAATTTAGCGGACCTATTTTTTGAAGTTTCTAATGTACTTTTGTGGTGACAGATGCCAACATTATTTCGCAAAATCTTTTGCTGCCACAGGTAAATTGAAAAGATAATATGAATATAAATTAGTTACATATTTTCATGATTTTATGTTCCATCCAACATGAATTCTTCTAGGGCTACCAGCCATGTAAGATGGTTTACTGGAGTAAACACCGACATTTCGAAGATGGGGAGGATGAACCTTACAAGGAACAGATTTGTATAATAACTGCAATATCGATCCTAACCATGAGTGCCACTTAATTCATTGTTACATTTGTAGTATGATTGATACGCTACAATAACATTCGATGGTGGAGAGCTGCTTCATTCACTTTTGTGAAAGGCACTAAATATTTTCATTTTTTATGAATTATTACAAGTTAACGATTATAACATGGCAATGGTGCAAACCTGTAAAATTATATGTGAGAAATCTTTTGTGTTCAGAACACACACTTAGAAATTTGTTCTTATCAATGAGGGAGATAAAGCACACACACACACACACACACACACACACACATATATATATATATATATTACTTGATGACACTGATAATGGTGGTGGTGATAAACTATGAGCGCCAATAATTGAAAAAATAATGTCTCTTAAAATTCGACTCACAAACTTTAACTTGAAGGCTAATTTGCTTTCCATTCCTGGATTATAAATCAATATTTACCTTATTATAAACTGAACAAAGGACATATAGGACAGAAGTCTAGCCCACAGTACAGAAGTAGAATTTATGAGTCTGCCTGGAACTATTCTTTTACTCTAAAATTGCAAAAAAATACCAAAATTGGCAGAGAATGCATGAGGTGAATTCAAAATTGCATATCTTATTTCCATATGCTGAAAATGTTCTAATCTTCGAGAACAGGTGAAACATTTTGTGCGCTCTCATACGCCACTTCCTTTGCCTTTGCCCTTGGACGTTCGTCCTGCAACCTGCCTGTATTCTTACAAGTTTTGCTTCTTCTATTTGCAGACTTGGCGGAATGTGGAAGGCAACGAGGAAAGATGAAAAAGAAGAATATTTTGCCCTTGCACGCCAGGTGGACGCGGAGCACAAGTTGAAATATCCCGGTAAGTAATTAATTCTCTTTTAATGTGAACAAGCAGCAGAAAGATTCCAAAAAATGTACCCGAGAATTCTGAGGTACATCAGCGATTCAGATTTATTTGGGATTGAATGCTAGTGATTCTAAGAGAACTATTGCTGAGTCTTTATTCTTTAGTAATATATTTTATGATTTGAGTCGATCAGTTGTATAAGTCGACAAAAATACAGAAGACATATTTTTTGTTATATCAATCTTCAGGGTGAAGTGGCTATGTGGGGAACTGGAGAAATTTATATTAGATGACGGAAATGCTAAGGGAAGCTGGTAACACTTTCTCCGAAAAGTTTTCATCTACTTACGAGTCATGGTACCAGAACCCAGATATCTAAATGAATCGAAATGCTATAATATTAAAATGGGAGTAACTTAAACATTTAATTTTGCAATTACATATGATCAAACGACATGTACTCTTCTTGTCTTTCTGTAATACATGACTTATGAATGTTGCTTAATTTCCTTTTCTGATGTCAAATGATACGATCAGAAACAACTGTCCACAGAATGCTCTGATCTGAATGTCATTCTTTCATTTTATAGATTATATCTACAACCCGAAGGAGGCCTGCAAGCAGAAGCATCTTCGAGTGCAGGTCCATGATACAAAATTACAACTGTCAAGCTCCCTGTAGGCAATTCGACACCTCACCACCGCGCAGGGTAGCAGTGCCCGTGTCCTGCCTGCCCAGGAGCATCAATTGGGGAGGGGGGCAGCAGGGCCCACCAAGTAGGAATCACAGGCAGACATGTCTACAGTCGGCAAGGTGTCGCTTCGTCAAAGGTAAGTTGTCGTCTCATTACTCTTTGTATGAAGTCACTCGCCTGACACTTGTCATTTGCACATGAAAAACAAACAAGTCTGGAATGTCAGAGGTGAAAAATGACTGCAGTAAGCGAAAAATAACCCCAAAAAGGGCAAAATATGACCTAATGTGTTATGTAAAAATATTCACTAAAATTTTAAAAAAGCGTTTTGTATTTCAGTCATGTTATATATTTACATATGCTTGTACAACTATTACATTACTTGATTTCCTAGCAATTTTAATCAAAAACCTCAGTCGCTTTAAGTTGTAAATGCCTTGTTTTGGATGAGCATCAGATGTTAAGTATACGTGCTCCTATACAAATAAGATAAATTTTAAGAAAAAGCCTTTCATGCATTTAATATTCATTAATTACAATTAAATAAATAAACAAAATTCAAAATATTAATTACCTTTCTTCATTCTCATTTCTTGACAGCATTTATAACGACAGTATAACGATTTGCATTTTCAAGGTTTTTCTCCAAGAAAAATTTGAACTGCTCATTGTTCACTTTGTTCAGTTGGCAGACGCCATCATTTCACACAGGGATTCACTGTAAGTGTCTGAAAATGTAGTTACAAATAAAAGTTTGTACCCAAAATATAACCAAAATATGCATTTTATCCTCAAAATATAACCGAACTATGCATTTAACTACAAATGTGACCAAATACATAAAACGACCTAAATATACATTTATATGCAAAATAAAAACAGCATAATTGTGATTAGGATAACGCAGTTAGTGTTTGGTTTCAGTTTAGAATGAAAACAGAAGCCTCAATAAAAATATGACATATCATGAACATCCGAACCCTATTAATGACCATCATAATAAAATAATGCATATTTGGCTTGCCACTTTGAAACACAAGATCTAAAATCACAACACTAATAAATATTTCACTTACACTTACAGTATCAACATGGTACTGCAGACTAATTATTCTGTGCTGACATTAAAGGCACAAGTTATTTGAAAACACAAAATCAAATTAACACGCTCTCGCATTGCATAATTTCTGCATAATAGTTGCCCCATTTAAAAGAAGCATCCAATGTTAGACGTCTGTTTAACGTGTTTTATTCATGGCACTCCCAGTATCGAAAAACATATACTCATAGCTGAGTAGATAACACACACAAAGCATGTTAATTTTGTCAATTGAAGTATCATTATGCCATGTAGTACAACTCTGTAACACATAAAAGGAACAGACGGTCTGCTTTAAAAATAATCAATTCGGAGTTCTGCAGTGTAAACAGCAATTATTTACTTCAAAAACATTAACCCTTGTAATGGCTGAGCTGTCTTCTTTGATTTACCTTTGAATGTTCAAATATTATTTAGGCGACTTTAAGCTATAAAAGGTGAATATCTTAATGATGCTGATGTGGCTACAGAACACTTGCACGAGAAAAATGCAAATAAAAATATTAAAAATTGTGAATATAAGAAATATAAATATAAAAATGGTTGACCCCAACATGAGCCGAAGAAGAGGTGAAGTGTACCAAAGTAACTCACAAACTGCAATTTTCATAAACACAATTGCAGTGACGTAAGTTTACGTGTTTATAAACGGTCGAAGACTATTTGAAGTTAAGAAACGCTGAACTAAACTAATTAAAGTAAATAGAAGTAAAGCAGGAGATAACATGGCAGCAAGCTTCTGTACAGAATCAGACGCCCTGAAGCCATGTTTATTGATAATTACGGACGTAAGATTAATCGCGATCTTACAAACTCTGTTTATGTCAAAATACCGACGTGCCTAATTAAGAAACTCCGATCAGAAGAGGCATTTTTGACAATAATTAATCCGGGCAATAAATTAAAAGACTTTTATGGACACAGTAGATTAATTTCCCTGTTCATAACAGCTCCTCCCACTGACCCACAACGTTACCCAGATGAATGCAGTCCACACCCTGACATTCTACGTCTTTTAAGATATATTTTAGTATTATCCACCCTGGTGGTATTTTCACTTTAGGTCTTCCGACTAAAATTCTGTACTCATTTCTCCATTTTTCCCATGTGTACTACATCTGCAACTAAATACTGTTTGTATCATAACGTTTAAACGTAATTTTGAAAGGAATATCATGTTCGAGTTACATCATGCCAAATACCTCAAATGATATACTGTTTTGTAATTAAAAAATATATGTATATGTTAAGACGTCTTCAAACAAACACCAAACCTCAAGTTTGTCTGTGAATAAATTGCGTCGTGTGTATTCAGACACATCTTAGCTGCTGCGATAATCCCTGACATACTACGTGGTCGCTGCACGCCGATGAACGCTGATAGAGAATTGTGCTTCTCGCGAGCTGAAAACACGAAATATGACAACACTTTAATTCAGCTTATAAATTTATAATATTAGTCGGACAAAAGTGCTACTATAAACCAATGTATATTTAACCGTAATGTACATGTTTATAATAATTGGAAACATTTCCCTTCAACTTTATGAACCATCCTTTATGATAATTAATGTACGGCCTGTAATGTACGGGTGGACTAATGTTTTGATTCTTGCGTTCTGAGCCGTGTGCCACTAAATACTGTTTGTATTTTAATATTAACACGTAATTTTGAAGCGAATATGTAGGTCGAGATACATCATGCTTGAATAACTGTATGGAAATAGTGTTTATAATATACAACATGTGTATGACAAGACGTCTTCAAACAAACATCAAACCTCAAGTCTGATGTGAATAACATTGCATCGTATATATTCACACACATCTTAGCTGCTGCGATAATCCCCGACATACTACGTGGTCGCTGCACGCCGATGAACGCTGATAGAGAATTGTGCTTTTCTCGAGCTGAAAACGCGAAATATGACAACACATTAAATCAGCCTGTAACTTAAATACTATTAATCGGACAAAAGAGCTACTTTAAACCAATGAATATCTAACCCTAATATACATGTTTATAATAATTTGAAACATTTCCATTTAAGTTTATGAACCACCATTTCTGACATTTTTTCTACGACCTTTAAAAATATCAGTTGTTAAACCAATTTACTAAAGGGGGCGAAAGAAGATGAAAATAATTATCGTCCAATTACTCTTGTTCCAGCTCTTTCAAAAGTTCTGGAAAAGGTAATAGCTAATCAGCTAATTTGTTTCTTAGATAAACACAATATACTTAATAAATCTCAGTTTGGATTTAGGAAAAATAAATTTTCAAATGATGCAATTGCCGCAATTATTGAAAATATAATTTAAAATCTAAATAATAAAATAAAGTGCAATTGTTTAATATTAGATTTATCAAAAGCATTTGATTATATTGAACATAACATCCTCATGGATAAATTATACAAATATGGAGTTCGTGGCACACCACATAAGCTAATTAAATCCTATCTCACAAATAGAACTCAACAAGTAAAAGTCTCACATGTAGCAAACAATCAAATGAAAGAATACTTGTCAAGTAGCCTTCCAGTTAGATATGGAGATCCTCAAGGTTCTGTCCTAGGTCCATTACTTTTTATTTTATATGTAAATGATATTGCACATCTAACACAAGGCAGAACATTAATGTATGCTGATGACACATCAATATTGAATATGGATCGGGATATGAATGAACTCCATAAGGTAACCTTATTCAATACGGACTTGGTAGAGCAGTATTTTGAGATAAACAATTTATTTATAAACACAACTAAAACACATTACTTTTTCCGGACAAAACAATGTAGGGAGGAAAGTAATCAAAAATTTTTAATAAAGAATAGGAAATAGTTAAAGTAAAAAGTACTAACTTCCTGGGAGTTGTGATTGATTGCACCCTGAGTTGGGAAGTACACATTGAAAGAATGTGTCGTAGAATTGGTCATAACCTATTTATAATTAATAGACTCTCTAAAATACTTAGTCTAAATGAAAGAAGAATGTTGTATTATGGTTTTATTTATCCCTTTTTGTCTTACGGAATCGTCGTATGGGGACAGAGTGCTAAAGTACTCACTCGACGAACTTTTACTCTTCAAAAAAGGGCAGTAAGGTACACAGCAGGTTTAAAACCAATTGAATCGTGCAGAGATAGTTTTAGGCATTTAAAGATATTAACAGTATACTCGTTATACATTCAAGAAACCATTTTATATGCAAAAGAAAAGTGTGTCTGCACTGTAAACAAACAAGTACATACATATAACACAAGAAATAATAATGACTATCATAAATATGTACATAAGTTAGAACTTTATAATAGTAAACCATCAGTAGCAGGTTGTTTCTTCTATAACAAACTGCCTACCATAATAAAACAAATAAGAAATAACAATCAGTTTAAGAAGGAATTGAAGGACTTTCTTATTAAGGGGTGTTACTATTCTCTAGAAGACTATCTTAATGAAGAATTTTTGAATATTGGCTACAGATAATCTAATGTGTACCTATAATGCTATATCTCCAATGGGATTATATTGTATTTTGATAATGTAGATTGACATATCCTATATCAATGTATTTTTGATATACAGGGAATAAAGTATTATTATTATGGACTGCAAGCTTTATTTTCACCAACATATTGATTACATATGTTCACAAGCCCTTAGAATGCTAGGTTTTATTAGGTATATTACGTCTTCTTTTTCTACTTTAGATAGCTTATTGGTTTTGTACAATAGTCTTGTTTGGTCTAAATTGGAGTATGGATCTGTTACTTGGAATTCTATTACTTCCACTGATTTTACCAAAGTTGAAAGAATTAAAAGGAAATTTGCTGCTTTATGTCATGCCAGATTTTTTAATGGCCAAAGTGACTATAATTATGAAGACGTTTCAGTTAGGATAAACTTTCCTTCACTGCACCTGCGGAGGAGCCATCTTGATGCTCTCTTTCTCATTAATATATTTAAAGGTAAATTTTGCTGCCCATCAGTTTTGGATTCAGTTTCTTTGTGCGTACCCTCCAGATCCATTAGAGACTACTTCACTTTTCTTTGTTTATCTTAGTCTTAAAGCTAGTTCCTTGTTTAGGTGTGCTTCTGCTGCCTAACTGGAAGGCTACTTGACAAGTATTCTTTCATTTGATTGTTTGCTACATGTGAGACTTTTACTTGTTGAGTTCTATTTGTGAGATAGGATTTAATTAGCTTATGTGGTGTGCCACGAACTCCATATTTGTATAATTTATCCATGAGGATGTTATGTTCAATACAATCAAATGCTTTTGATAAATCTAATAGTACAAAATTGCACTTTATTTTATTATTCAGATTTCCAATTATATTTCCAATGATTGCGGCAATTGCATCATTTGAAAATTTATTTTTCCTAAATCCAAACTGAGATTTATTAAGTATATTGTGTTTATCTAAGAAACAAATTAGCTGATTAGCTATTACCTTTTCCAGAACTTTTGAAAGAGCTGGAACAAGAGTAATTGGACGATAATTATTTGCATTTTCTTTCGCCCCTTTTTAGTAAATTGGTTTAACAACTGATGTTTTTAATGTAGATGGGAAGATGCCTTCTCTAATTGATGCATTGATCAGTTCTAGTAGTGGTCTTATCACATTAGTGTTAGATATACGTTTGTTTAAAGTAACACTATCGTTCGATTAATATTATAAAAGTTTCAGGCTGATTTAATGTGTTGTCATATTTCGCGTTTTCAGCTCGAGAAAAGCACAATTCTCTATCAGCGTTCATCGGCGTGCAGCGACCACGTAGTATGTCGGGGATTATCGCAGCAGCTAAGATGTGTGTGAATATATACGATGCAATGTTATTCACATCAGACTTGAGGTTTGATGTTTGTTTGAAGACGTCTTGTCATACACATGTTGTATATTATAAACACTATTTCCATACAGTTATTCAAGCATGATGTATCTCGACCTACATATTCGCTTCAAAATTACGTGTTAATATTAAAATACAAACTGTATTTAGTGGCACAGTGCTCAGAACGTAAGAAGCAAAATATTAGTCCACCCTTACATTACAGGCCGTACATTAATTATCATAAAGGATGGTTCATAAACTTAAAGATAAATGTTTCCAGTTATTATAAACATGTACATTGGGGTTAGATGTTAATTGGTTTAAAGTAGCACTATTGTCTGACCACTTGGTTGCTTTTTAAAATCTTGAGTAAGACACTAAACTAACCCCTCTGGGTAGTTAATTTAGGTGTCTTATTCAATTGTTTTAACCCTTGAATAAAAACTAATCTAACCCCCCGAAATGGGGGTTTAAACACTTGACCAACCCCCCTTCGAGGGTTTTGGTCAAGTGTTTAAAACCCAATCAACCCCTACTTCGGGTGGTTTGGTTGCGTTTTAAAATCTTGGATGGTAATATTTTAGACAAAATTAACGTCTGTAAAATAATTAATTTTAATAGGACTTCTTTTGCAGAAAATAACGGGGAGAAATCATTTTTCCTTCTATGCTGCAAACAATATTTCTCTTTATTTTTTTGTAGGTTGTACATCAATTCCTAATTTTCTACATTATTTTCGTAAGGAAAGTAATTAAAATTAAAGTGTTCGTCGTGTTTGTAATCAACTGCAAACTACTTATTTTCCTGTGCCAGTTCAAGTTCATAGTTCGATTCCCTAACAGACTGAACCTTGAGATGAAAAGATAACCAGGCTTTGGCACATTTCTCCGGTTGTTACAAACGAAGGAGGCGTGATAAGATTATATTTGGAACGCCTTACTTCATCCAAATGTGATTGATTTTATGAATTTTGGCATTGTTTAATGTATTAAATTGGAAGAGAGTAGCGGCAATCAGTCTCTTGAACGTCTTTGTTCCAGACCTTGCGTCTAGAGGTGGCGTGACATTCACAAAGCTTTCGAACTCGTAAAATTTGTATACGAGGCGAAAACTTATGCCTTTCCAGATATAGAATAACGGTTGCCCTAGAACAGTCGCCTTACTGCGATTGGGACCAATGAAATTCGAATATGGCTTTTCTGAGCGTTTCCCGACGTTATGGGGTGATTTTGGGGGACGAATCGGATCGCCGTATTCAATTCAAAATTTAAGACAGTGATAGCGCGCTTGTGTTGCTGCGGCGCTCTCTAAAGTGTTGGATTTCAAGTCGTGCAGACGTGTTCTTCTCGCAAATTTTCAGTACAAAAACGGCCGATACATTGCACTGCCTAAATATCAACATAATTGTGTCTTTGCATCAGTGTGAAATAATCCGTGAATAAATTGAGTGATTTCAACAACAACAACAACTGTTTCGTCAAAATTTTACTAGCTCAACGACTTCTCTACCCTCACGCGAGCGCGGCTCCAATTAAGGCCTCCACTGTATATTCTCTGAGAGTCAGAGATCCTTGCCCACCGACTAACCCTATATCAAGATATCATGAGAAACCTTTAACCCTTTCCGCGCACCGAACTAACAAACGTTTTAATTGCAACAGCGCCGGCCTAGCTACTGGGTTTGAAATCGTGGCTACATCAGCAGAAGGACGAGTGTGTGTGTAAGGACGGTTACATTCCCAATTCAACATTTTTTTACGTTTCTCATTCATTAATTTGTCTCCTTGTCTGTAGGCGTAATCACTTGCATTTGGTAGGTTCTTGATGACACAAGTCGACATAAAGTGTCTATAAACATTCATGTCTGCCGCCAGGTACCTGCAAGAAAGAAAACCCGTTTCCATCATCCATCAGTATTATATACACTCAAGACAATTTTTATCATATTTCGCGGACACAGTTACAGAAAATATGTAGCTCTACATAAGATGACATAACTCATGAAGAAATTCCTCTTCTACCATAAATCATTTATTTAATATAAATTTAATAGAAATGTAATTTCAATGTCAGTGAATTTATGTTGAGAAAGTATCTATTTTTTAATAATATCTTTGTGAGTCGTAAAATGTGTTGACCTAAAAATATCCATGTCTGATGGGCTGGCTCTCTCTTTAGGTTAAATGAAAAACTGCTTCCACCGAAATGTCGTTGCTTATAATTTGTTTCCAGACAACCTTAACGAAAGTTCCCCCAATCGGAATTCAACGTACGATTGCCACATCATATTTCAGGACAGTTGCCACGTGATCTTTCTCTCACTCATACACATAGAACCCCGGCCAACGCGCTATTATAACGTAATACATTTTATTACATGAAAGTGAAGGTAGAGGTTATGACTATTTTAAAACGCTGTCAATTGACTTGTGTTCTGCGCAAGCTATGTTTCGTACACTTCATTAAGCCATTACCCTCGGTCAGAATAATAAATTTAATCAAACTTAATTTGGAGAGATAAGCGTGTATTTTTTAGACATGCGCCCATGACAATATTTCCCTCTTTTAGCAATATATATTAAAAAAAAAATTTTGTCCCACCAAACATAGTTCTGGAGATATTCTGCTGGACGTAAAACAGACACAAATCAAACTCGAATGAATTTCTGTGGAATTTCTGGCTCTTGAATGAAGAAATGTGGCTTTCTGGATGTTTTTGAAGCTACTTACTCACTCCGTTAACAGATGGCAAGAGACTGCATGGTCAAACACGCCAAGAGACAGCCATTTTAAAATAAACTTCCATCGAAAATGGGAACATGAGAAGGTAGGCGTCGTTAAACCTGAAACTGGCCTAACACTTAGATAAAAGCAAATGATTATGGCGATGTTGATGTGCTGAATGCTCAAACTCGAATGAATTTCTGTGGAATTTCTGGCTCTTGAATGAAGAAATGTGGCTTTCTGGATGTTTTTGAAGCTACTTACTCACTCCGTTAACAGATGGCAAGAGACTGCATGGTCAAACACGCCAAGAGACAGCCATTTTAAAATAAACTTCCATCGAAAATGGGAACATGAGAAGGTAGGCGTCGTTAAACCTGAAACTGGCCTAACACTTAGATAAAAGCAAATGATTATGGCGATGTTGATGTGCTGAATGCCAGAAACTTCCTGCCCAAGAGAGTAAAACTGATCAAAGAATCAAAGAGCTTCTTATTAAAGCAGTTACAGCTTACGTCTGATTAGCATTATCTAGTCATTTACCCCTTGGTTTAACGTTTCAGCTCGACCGCAACATCGCCCTGCCTGCTTTCAATCTACCCCCTTCCTCCCGCCCATTTTTCGCGCGTTGTATTCAAGGCCCTAAGTAAGCAGTAAGAAGCTCCGAAACGTCGGTTAGTTTCTACGTCACTACAAGATGCAGCACCCGCAAGGTCGCGGTTATTTTTACCTGAAATAATTCACTTCCTAGTGCTTGTCCTGCCCAAGAGAGTAAATCTGATCAAAGAATCAAAGAGCTTCTTATTAAAGCAGTTACAGCTTACGTCTGATTAGCATTATCTAGTCATTTACCCCTTGGTTTAACGTTTCAGCTCGACCGCAACATCGCCCTGCCTGCTTTCAATCTACCCCCTTCCTCCCGCCCATTTTTCGCGCGTTGTATTCAAGGCCCTAAGTAAGCAGTAAGAAGCTCCGAAACGTCGGTTAGTTTCTACGTCACTACAAGATGCAGCACCCGCAAGGTCGCGGTTATTTTTACCTGAAATAATTCACTTCCTAGTGCTTTTCGAAAGTAACAGTTTGTGATTATACAATCCTGAACAAAGAAACAAACCATTGAATTTCCTCGCCATTGAAACATGCGACGTGGGGGAAGAAGTCGTCCTTCTTAGAAAATCTATTGATGACAAAGATCCTGTTGTCGATCACTTCTGCTTTTAAGTAACCTGAATGGAACTTCATCTCAGGGATCTCGGTCCACGTATCTTCTTCAAGGTCATACTTTTCGGTACTGAGCTCGGATGATGT